GTGTTGTTAACACAAGTTGTAAATATGAAATCAACAGAAAAAATGGCACAAAGTGTTTGTATTGTGTTGATGACGTGTTGTGTGGCAAAGCAAAACAACATTGTGGAATATCACACAACGAGTATTGTTACTTGGCAGTGAGTGGATATCACACAACAAACAACAACACCGTTGTACAGTGTGAAAATGAAGTTTGTGTCATTTCAAATGGAGTTGTCACAGATTTAAAATGCCAAGAAGACAAATTGTTGATAAATGGCGCGTGTAAAACTAATACGATGTGTTCTGAAATATCAAGTAATGATTGTATCAAATGTGATTCAAAACAACACATCTCACAAGGAAAATGTTCACAAAACAGTGCTAATTGTGACAATCAAAATGGAGATATTTGCATTGTGTGTAACAACTCCATCAACGTTGACGGTGTGTGCACAGACAGCCAGTCAATTCATTGCACTTCATTTGACAAAGTGTGTGTCACATGTGAAAGTGGTTATTACAAAGACGTTGATGGCTGTAAAGAAAAGACTGGCGTGTTGTCAAATTGCGGTGTTGTCTCGTCGCTCAACACCAAATGTGTCGAGTGTGAGTCCGATTACAACTTCAATGGAATTTCGTGTGTGCCACAAACACTTCCAAATGAGACGACGAAAGAGAAAACTAAAAACGAAGACACACAGACAAACAGCCATTGTGAAGCGAGCACCACAAAGGGGTGTCTGAGGTGCCTCAGTGGGTATTACCTCGCAGACCGGATGTGTGTCAAGTGTGAGTACCCCTGTGTCTACTGTTCGAATCAGACATTCTGCACAAAGTGTGACGATTACTCGTATGCAAACAGCAACGGCGTTTGCACCGAAATTAACGACCTTGTCAGTGTGTGTGACGTGTTGATGTCAACATATCGCGGGTGTGTAACTTGTAAAGATGGGTACATGCGGTCGTTTGATGGGTCAACATGCATTAGTTGCGATGTGTCATGCAAGTCGTGCACCAGTGAAGGAAATTGTGTTGAATGTAATGAGGCATTCTATCGCACCTCATCGAATGTCACCAAATTGTGTTCACCACAAAGCGAGTTGACTTCGTGTGCAAACAGGACAACAGCTGGTTGTATGCTATGTGAAAATGGACATTATCTCTCCAACAATTTGTGTGTGAAATGTCAAGACACGTGTACACAATGCAATGACATCAATGAGTGTACCGACTGTGTGAAAGACAATGTTCTTGTGTCTGGTGTCTGTTCACATTACTCATCCATTGAAAACTGTGTTGAGTCTGCCAACAATAAGTGTTCAAAATGTGATGACAACTACAAGTTGAGTGACGACATGTTGAGTTGCATTCACACCACAAATTATGGTGTTGTTGTTGGCATTCCAATCGTTTCTGTGTTCATCATAGTATTTATTATAATAGGTTTTCTAATAATTACAATAGTCGTTTTACAAAAGCGCAAGGAAACAAAGAAAATGGAAAACATTTGTGTCTTTAAGATGAGTCGTTCAAACATCGCAATGAGTGTGTTAAATGACAATGTCATGACAAACAAAAAGTCGTTGACATTCAATGACACCAGTGAAGTCATTCCCGTTGAAAAAGAGTCTCGTGAGCTCCTCTGTGTTGGCAACAAAGGCAAAGGCATTTTGAAAGTCCAAATGACTACACGTGGCGGCTGTGACAAATACTCAATTCGCACAGAACCACAATTGGTCAGTTTAAAGAAAGGCGAAGCGTGTGAGTTTGAGATGTTTGTAACACCACACTGCTCATTGAAATTACATGAAGAGATAATGATTGTCACAATGAACATCGAAAATGGTGAGACTGTGTCTGTCCCAATTGCCATTGAAATCACAACAGAAAACTCGACCAAATTAGATTACGACGAGTTAAAAGAAGACAAGAAACTTGGGGAAGGTTCGTTTGGAATAGTCTACAAAGGGAGTTACAGAAAAAATGTTGTTGCTATAAAGAAAATGAAACAGTCAAATGACACTGACAAACTTATCACTGAATTTGAGAATGAAGTGTCGATGTTGGACAAATTTAGAAGTGAGTATATTGTCCACTTCTATGGAGCTGTTATTATACCAAACAAGATATGTATGGTCACACAATTTGCACAATATGGAAGTCTACAAGACTTGATCAAACACAAGAGAAGCGATGATATTCCGCCAATGAAACTTCGAGTTAAAATGATGATCGATGGAGCTAGAGGTGTATTGTATTTACATGAAAATGGGATATTACACAGAGACATCAAACCAGACAACATTCTTATAATTTCACTTGACTTGAATGAAAAAGTGAATGCTAAATTGACCGATTTTGGAAGTGCAAGAAATGTGAATATGATGATGACCAACATGACATTCACAAAGGGTATTGGAACACCAAATTATGGCTCCTGAGATTTTAAACAAAGAAAAGTATAAAAAGGCTGCTGATATTTTTTCTTTTGGAGTCACAATGTATGAGGTGTTTGGGTGGTCTGAAGCGTATCCAAACGACACATTCAAATTTCCATGGAAAATCGCGGAATTTGTGATTCACAACAATCGACTGAAACGCAAAGACCCAATAGAAGAAGAACAGTACAACATCATCACACAATGTTGGTGCAACGATCCCAAAAGTCGTCCACAAATGGAAATTGTTTTGGATAAACTTCTTCAACTAATTTAATTATTTTATAAACATTTTATAAATAAAATAAAACCAAAGAAAATAGCTAATTTGAGTAAATTATTATTGTTTTTGTAAAAGTTCAGGCAAAGATTGTTTGTGTTTATAATAACAACATTCTTTGTTTTATATTTCGTGGTTATTTAGTAATATGTACTGTTTGTGTATAAAAGTCTTGTCACCAATATTTTTTATTAAACAGAAAAGTTGGTTAATGACGTTAAACTGTTAATTAAATTAATACAGTATGTGAGAATAGTATGTGAGAATGACAAAACCCTGTGGATTCAATTTAAGTTATAATTGTGTAACTTTTGTGTAATAAAAATATTATTTTTTTTATTTCAAAAAATTCAAAAAGATCAAATAAAAAATCACTTAATTCCAGTTCATTTTCAATTTCGATTTGTTTGGAAACCTACAAAGTAGCTTTCAATATGTGAAAAACCATCTAGTACTCACCAACAAACTGATTCAGACCTCACTCCAAAGAATCCTTGTAATACTGGACACATCAGCCATAGCAACTAAACGATTCAAAGCAGGCAACGTTGAATTCAAGAGTCTTTACGAGCAAGTTCTACAAGTTATTTTCTTCATAACGAAAGAACGTTAAACAAACGAATCTCTTCTATTGGAAGGACTTATGACAGTTCAGACATATTTTGATTCAAACAATGACAATATGACCCTGTGATATGTAACAGTTATGTAAACTCGGCGATACAATTGATCAAAAAGAAAAAAAATCAATTGATTAAATTTTCAATACAATTTTTAGTTCTTTTTGAGATTTTTTGGTCATATTTTTTTCACAACTTTACGTCCAACATCCGATTTTTTTCTTTTTAACGGCTTGCAAACAGACCGACACAAATAATCCTCAACACACCTTGGAAGCATTCGAACTGCAGATATTTTCAAGTTTTTTTTGTTTTGAGCATTCAATCGAGTATAACTGTGGTATACTTAACAGTCTTGGTATTTCTGCTGTGACTCTGCGTGACACTCCAATATCCACATACGCAACCCTCATACCACCATCAACAATTCTGAAATTAATACCAACTTGCCTAAAAGCCCGTGCACACAACCGGAGTAGTTGTTTGGAAATAAGACTTCAGAATTGAGTTGAAATATTAAGCAAACTTTTTTCCCAAATCCTTTTCATTATTAAATTCAACAACTTTAGTTTGATTTGGTATTTTGTTGTGATCTTCTGATTGGTCGTCATCCACCAACCTTTTGTTGACAGTCATAACAGCCTTTTTGGTGATATAGCCTCTTGTGGATTTGCCAGCACTTCCTGAAACATTTCTTCCAACTGTTAAGGTATTCTTAGTTTTGCAACAAAATTGTGGTTGCCAATCACATCAGTTAACTCTTCTTTTTCTTCAACGTCTTCACTTTCTGTCGTTGTTGTTTTTTTCGCCAACTCTATTTTTAATTTTTATGATTTCTCTAAACTTCGCATACAACGAATTCAGTCTTTTTTGAGCTGCAAACACCCCAACGTCTAATTGTTCTGTTAAATGTTGGGTGTAAGGCATTTACTTTTTTAATTATTTTGGAAATTATTTTTTAATGGTAAAATAATGGTTAAATTATAACTCATTTTTAGTTTTTGGAACTTTGAAAAAATAAAATTAAAAAAACATTTTATATACAGTGACAAAGTCAAAAATTACAAAAAGACTACTCTAATACACAAAGAAGTATTTAAAGATGATCGCCAGTCTTTTTTTTGCAACTATTTATTCTTTCTTTTTATTATTTATTTTAGGTAAAAAATTTGTATTTTATTTTTATTTTTTATATTAAAGTGACTCTTCCAAGGTGTGCAAGTTAAAATTTTTAGTCTTTTTTACAGGGAAAGTAAGTGCAAGACTAAATTTCAGTTGAAAAACGTTTTATTAAAAAAATGTTATTTATTCCAAAAAACACACAATGTTTTGGTGCTTGAATTTATAAAATACAAAAAGCAAATTAAATTATAAAAATTGGGTAATGGTTTGTTTTTGTGTTTAATGTAAAAACAATTTTGTTTCAAGACGTGAATAAATGTTGATGTCTCTTGTGTTAGCGTAATTTAAAGTGACAAGAAAAGGTGTAATAAACATTATGTTTTTCTCTGTGCCATTTTATAACAAACCATAACAAACAGTCTGTTTAATTGGTGCAGTTCATTATTTCAAATTAATGTGTACTGTTGTCCAAAACTGGATCTTCGATAATTTCCATTATGTAGCTTTCCCGAAATTGTTGCTTAATTTATTGTATTTGAAGTGTGAAAGTTAAAAATTGCAACGTCACAAGGTGTGCAAGTTAAAGTATAGTTTAGTAATAACTTCAAAATTATAATTGATAATTAAACCAAAAATATTCTTTTTTTAGAATTTCAAAAATGAATAATTTTATTTTTTTAATAAAAAAATTATAAATGAACTATACCTTAACTTGCACACCTGGGAAAGTCACTCTAATAATATTTTATACGTATTAACAGCAAAAATATAAATGATGATTCAATAAAAATATCACTAATCTCTTTTATCAAGTTTTTTGCAAATAAAATCAGTTTTCATATGGTCGCAATTTTTAATAATAACAAAAGTATTTTCAGTTGTGTTTTCAATGTTAATCAATTTTTCACAGCTTTGGAGATGTACAAAATTTGTGTTTTTTGACAGCACAATTTTCTTCAAATTATAACAATGAAGAACAACCAATTTTTCAACGACATCGCTGCACGCTATTTCTGTGCAATTCATGTAATTGATTTCAACACACTTTTTGTTAGCATTTAAAGTACCGCTTACATATTTTCTTTGTTCAACTTTAACGGTATTGATATTTTCAGTGTTTTCAATTTTGATTTTTGATGTTTTTAAAAGAGAAGTACAAGGACTTAATATGACTTTTGGAAGACGTCGTAATTTTTCAATTTCTGAACGATACATTTGTTTGCCTTTCTTTATTTTTAAAACAACTTCATTCACTTCAATAGTTAACAAATTGATTTCTTGATATTTTTCAATACTTACCACTGCTGTATCAAATAAATTTCTTTCTATTTTGTAATCAATAACATTGTAGTTCTTAAGAAAAACAATTCGGTGTTTGACAGTTCCTGTTATTTGTATACCTTTTAAGACTGTTATTTGCTTTTGTTGTTTCAACTCTGTTTTTGATAAACTTTTTTCTTGTGATAAATCACACATTTGAAGACTATTTTGGTCACAAGTCACACTTTTCATAACACCATGATCTTGCTCTTGTTTTTGCCATACAACTGTGTCCACTTTTTCACAACAAAATTGACTTCCACTTGGAACTTTTAATATCACTTTCTTTGCAATTTCCACACAGAAATTTTCTATGTTAGTGCTCACTATTTTTAGTGTAAAAGTGAGTTTTTTTGGAAGAGTTAAAATTATTTCTCTTACTTCAGTATAAACTTTTTTTACAGTCGCTTTGACTAAATTTTTTCTTTCAAAAACAGCCGAATAAAAACACGAAAAGAGTTTTTGATTTGAGTGAATATATGGGACGTTAAACTGTGAGAACTTGGAATTTTTAATTTTCAGTTTACAATCAAATGCAGTGCAATCTACTGTGCTATTTTTTAAAGAAGAAAATTTGACTTTTGGCTTTTGAACAAAATTGTTTTGTGTACGGATTTCTGTAATTTGTCCGAGTGTAATCTCCGCCTCATCACAAAATGTTAAACATGCATTTTCATAACAATTTTCTTTAAAATTAAGTCTTCGACACGAATGACAAATAATTTTATTTGAAATGATGTTTAAAAGATTGATTTCTTCACTTGAAAAAACACCAAATGATTCGAACTTTGCGCCTTTGGAGACTTCAAGGTTTCCAACCCATCTCGCTTCAAAGTGATTAACCACTCCTGTGCAGACTACTTTAATATTAAAACACCATATAACAGCCACAAGTTTTGCATTTTTTACACGAATTTCAATATCATGACAACTTTCCAGTGTTATTTTCTTTAAATAGAACCCATCGAATTTGACGTTAGAAACTCCATGTAAATTAACTTCAGAAATTCCTTTTGGTGAAATGAAAATTTCTTTTACAAGTTGAGATGACATGAAGTACTCTGAATATGGGTTAATTTTAATGTTATTGTGTCTGTTTCGATTTTCATTGAACAACTTTGGAAAGACTTTTTCAAATTCACAACGAAATGACGGCCGTGCCTCAACCCATCTGAATGAGTTATGAACACTTTTATCCACTTTTCTTGGTAATTCAAAATTCCAAAAGTATGTTCCAACGATATTGACAACGCCATTTACTTTCTCGTCAAGCACAGACATCACCTCTTCATTCGTTTCTGACGCGTCACAAACATGAACTCCAATATTTTTCATTTTAGAGATCTGATCTTGAATTTTGGCTTTTAATGAATAAGCAGTAGATATACAGTTTCTCAATATAAGACTGACACTGTCTGGTGTACCACCATTTTTACTTCTAACTTCGAGGAGTTTGGTAACCTCTTTAAAAAACTGCAATTTACACACATCGTAAAAAATGATTTGTTTGATTGTTTCAGAACACAAAAGGTCTTTGTTTGAAGACAGTGAAGATTTATTAAGTGCACTACATTTGATTGTTCTTAAATTGGAAAAACAATTCAAATCGGATGAAAGTTGACACGTGAAATTGTCGAATGTGAGATTCTCTATTTTTGGTAACAACTCTTTGCATGAGTATAAAGACCCAAATCTTTTTGACGACAGTTGAGAGTCGTCAACTGTCCGAATTTTAATGATTTTATCCAAAAGAGTCTTTTGAGGCAATTTTAGAGTGAGTGATTGGACAGCGCATTGGACTGTTTCAATATTAAAAATAAATGTTGAAAAGAATTTTAAATGAGTGGTAAATTGAGTAACAAAGTCTTCTGTTTTTATACGAGGAAAGTAATTGAATTTAATGTATGGGTTGATGTGGAGAGTACTTAATGAAGAGTAACATTTGTGGTTGACTTGAATGAAGACAAAAAGGCTCTCAATGGTGTTAATGTACAACACAACATTTGACAAAAAGAATTGTTCAAGTTTCATTATTTGAAATTTTTTGTTCAAACAATTCGACTAAATGTGACAATTAATTTTAAGCGAATAAAAAAATATTTAATTATGTTTGATTTATACTTTTAATATAATTAAAATATCATAATAGTAAAGTATATGAAAACCTACTTAGTATCTCAAAACAACTCAATTATTTTATAATAGCCATTTATTTCAAATGGATAAATTTAAGTTGGTTCATCAAGAACACCTTCCGTCTTTCAATCTTCAAGCTAAGAAATATAAACACATCAAAACACAAGCGACAGTTATTAAGTTGATTTCATCTGATACTAACATGACCTTTTCAATATCTTTTAAAACACCACCAACTGATGATAGTGGCACGCCACATATCATTGAACACTCGGTCTTTTGTGGAAGTCAAAATTACACAACAAAAGAGCCGTTTGCAGATTTAAATCGTGGGAGCTATCAAAACTACCTAAATGCATGGACTGCACCAGACACCACAGTCTTCCCCGCGTCTTCCACAAACTTTACAGACTATAAGAATTTGATGAAAGTTTATTTGGACGCGGTCTTCCTCCCTAAAATGAAATATGAAATTTTGCCTTTAGCACAAGAGGGCTTTAGGTGGGAGAAGAATGACAATGGAAATTATTTTGGGAATGGAGTGGTGTATAATGAAGTCAAAGACTCCGATGTAGACGCAGACGAAATTATTCTGCGAAACATAAGAAAAATGTTATATAACGGGACATACAAATTTGACTATGGAGGAGTCACAAGTCACATAGAAAAAATCGATTATAAAGACGTTCAAAAATATTACTTGGAGCACTATACCCCAACTAACTCATTAACTGTTTTATACTCTCCAGACGATTTACTAGAAACTGAATGTGAAATTCTCGATTCTTATTTTTCATTGTATGAGATAAGTGATGTCTCACATATCAAATTAGATGACACCTTAAACGTGTTAGTATCACAAAGTCCGCATACAACACAACAAAAACCATTGTGTTTGGAATATCCAGTAGAGACCAAAGAAGATGAGGAGGACAATGATGTTTTTTGCGTTGCATGGCCACTTGGAGAAATAGACTCCGAATTATCATTTTCTCTGGAAGTAATACAAAAGATGATAGAAGAGACTGATGGGGTTCTTGAAGAGCGATTAGATGCCAAAAACATCTGTGATGGGGTGTATATAGACTTCGACACAAATTACAAGAGTCCACTTTTTGCGATTTTTGGGAGTGGGTGTACTCGCACCAAATTTAATTCGTTTATTTCAGTGTTATTCGACCAACTTACCAAATTTGGAGAGTTTGGGTTTGGAGAAGAGAAGGAACTTGCTGCGTTTAAGTTAGTCAAATTTGAAGAAAAAGAGTGCGAAGATGATGACGGCGATGAGCCCAAAGGCGTCTTATTTAGTGAAATGTGCAGTCGACTCTTTTCACATGACAAAAGTGATTTACTTGAAGATTTTAAAGTCGATGAAATAGCTGAAAAAGTGCGAGCAAAAATGGACAACAAGTACTACGCAAATATCATTAAAAAATTCTTTTTAGATAACAAAAATTGTGTTTATGTGAAGTGCACTGCTAGTCACAATTTGATGAGAAAAATGACTGAAAATGAAGTGCAGCGACACAAAGAAATAACTCAGAAATTTTCAGAAGAAAAAATTGCAAATATTGAGAACATCTCAAATGAACTTAAACGAAGGCAAAGTATTGAAGACACTCCACAACAAAAGGCGAGTATTCCTGTATTAAAGTTGAGTGATATCAGTCGTAAAGGATGCGATTTTTCAATGACAAAAATTAGTAAAAGTGATTTATATAACAGTGATATTCCAACATATTATAAAAGTAATTCGACAAACGGAATTTTATATTTTGAACTTCGTTTTGACACGCCAGACTTCACTAAAGATCAAATTGTTATAATGAAATTGTTGTCATATTCAATCACTTCGTTTGGGACAAAGAAGCACAAAGTGAGTCAACTCAACACGTTGATAAACAGCGATTTTGGTGATTTGGCATTTTCAGTGACTACCGTTTCAAACAACCGCCTTGGAAATAGTTACGAGCAAACTCAGAAGAGTCACGCACAGTTCACAATCACTGCAAAATTGTTATATGAGAACATAGATCATGCGTTACAGACACTTAATGAAATCATGAATGAGACAAATTTCACTCTGAAAATGCTTGAAAAGAAAGTCGAGGATTACGTGTCAGACACTGAAGACGCGTGGAAGGCTGATCCGTCCAGTGTTGTGAGTGGCCGACTTCAGAAATATTTGGGGTATTATGGAGAACTCGAAGACGCTATTTATGGTCTTTCCAACTATTACAAAGTCCGACAATTTTCGAAAACTTTTTCTAAAAACGGAAAACTTTTGTTACGAAAAATGAAAGAACTTTATAAAACAATTTTTTCAGATCATCGCGCAAAGTTGTACTTTTCGTGTGATGAAAGTGTAAAAGACGACGTTTTGAACAAATTTTGTGTGATTCAGACGTTCTTGGACAAGTCGGAGGTCGGTCCCAATATCGAAATTTCCGAGGAAAAGCAGATGAACGAGTTTTTCGTGTTTCCCACAAACACCAATTACGTTGGGATGTCCTTCAACTTCCTTAAAAATGGTCATCCGTTCGACGCAAATTTGAAAGCGCTTTTTGAAATCATCGAAAAGAAATTTTTGTGGGACAAAGTGCGAGTTGAGGGAGGAGCGTATGACGGGTCGTTGAGTTATCAAGCGAATGGGAATGTGTGTATCACTTCATACAAAGACCCACACATTTCTAAAACATTCGATACTTTCCGTAAAATTCCACAATTTTGTGAAACCCTAAAAATGAGTGAGGAGGAAATTGAACAGTTCATTGTCGGCATTTTGGCAGTGTACGATGCGCCTACAAATCCACAAATTTTCTTTGAATATTGCGTGGAAAAGGAAGTTGGGAATTCTGTTGAAAATTTCAATGAATTGCGAGAACAATTGTTTAGTGTTACACTTGAGAAAATGAAAGAAAAAATACACGTGATAACAGAGGGGATACAAAACGCGGTTTGTTGTGTTGCTGGTAACAAAAATCAAATTGAAAAGGCCGGTGAAAAGTTTGAACATGTTGTAAACATATTTAAGACAAAATGATTTGATTTTTTTGTTTGTTTATTATAACAATTGTTTATGTTAAGTCCATTTTGCTTAGATTTTGTCATTTTTACTCTCATTAATTAACTTATTGATGTCTTACATTCTTTTTTGCTTCTTTCTCATTTTTAAAATAGTTTTCTAAATAGTCGTTTTTTTCAAATTCCATTGTTTTCAAACCCATTTTTTTGTCACTATAAAATCTATTTTCCTCTTCATTTGTATCATTTTTGTTGTATTCAAAATAGTTTTTATCTTTTCTTTTTGTCTGAATGTTTGTAAAAATGGGTTTTTTTCGTATAATTTTTAAAAGTCGTTTTTAAATATGTATTAAAAACATTGGAAAACATTTTTCAAAATACTTCTCTATTGTATATAAATTGCGTTTGGTGTAAGTCGCGATGATAAAATATTTCAATACAATGAACGTTGCTCAATTTTGTAAACATTTTTCTAAATATAAAGTATAATAGTTTTTGTGATATTGTTTTTGATATACACCTTTTACCTCGCCTAAATGAACTCACGTTTTAAGCTTGATATTAAAAACAATAATATCACATTTTGATTATCATGGTTGTTTCCAACAATTTAATATAAAATTTGTATATTAAACAAATTAATAATGTTTGGTGCATTTTCAACAAATATACTTTAAGTGCAAAATGGTCAATACAACAAATAAAGTGTGTATTTTCCTATTTTTCTTTTTTGGTGTTTGTTTACAAACTTGAATTTGTTAACAATAATGAGCATTTTTTAAATTTTAAATTATACTCATCAGTTGCATAAACACGTCTATATGTCAAAATCTGGTATCCACCCATGATATAGAACTTAATAGTTTCGGTCGAAAGTTATTTGATCAAAAAAGATATTATATTGATTCAATATAACACTTTCATTTATAATAAATTTAATAATATACCAAAAATGTTCTTATCATTTATATTTGATGAAGTAAGGAGAGACTATTGTTTATATGCTTTTTGACATATTTTTGTAATAAACCAAAAATTATAATTTTCAATACGATATATTGTTTTCCTTATACTCTCGCTTCTATTCAGTACAAAACTCTTGTTTTTAAATATGAAAATAAATTAAAATTGCTTTGCTCGTTTTGTTGGCACGATTAACTACTTATTAAAGGTATTGTTTAAATTATGTACATGATCAATGTGTTAAATGATCTTAAATTTAATTAATATGTAAAATTTTACTGTGAAATACAAGTGAAATTATATACTGTTATTTAAGGCGTATTGGAAAGAACTACTATATAACAATCAAGTACAAACATACTTATTTATTACAGACAATGAACTATTTAATATAATCAGATGAAGTGTTTCATATTTTAAATTTGTATAAGTGATATGAAAATAAACATTAAATTTTTTTAAAATCTGAAAAAAAAACTATGTTTAAAAATTCAAAAAAATGTATTTCATTCAAGCACATTAATTCGATTTAAAATAGTTATGATTTGTTATTTGATTGCTGTTTTATATTAAATTTGTTGTTTCAAATGTAAAAAACAATGGTTTATTTATTAATGTTTATATTTTTTTGACATGTGTTGTTTAAAATAGATTGTTAACCAAACAAACATAATAATCTTAAAATAACATTTTATATTATAATTTTGATATAATATTATTATTTTATTTATGTTTCAATTACAATTCAACTCAAACAAAGATGAAGATTACAACTGAAATGACGTGATGTTTGTTTTTTAATTTTAGAAAAAAAAACATGTTTTAATAATATTAATACAATATATTGATAAAATGATTAGTTTTATATATTTGAATAGGTATACAATCTATTGTATTTGACAATTAAATAAACAGAATTGTATATATTTTTTATATATTGTTATTTAAAAAAAACAATATAAATTAAGATTCTAACACATTGAATGAAATATCCATTTTTCACAATAATATTCATGTTATTATTAGGTATAAATTATCTATTTAAACTCGAGTCATAAACTAATTTACATCAAATGATTTCTATCATTCTTATCGCATTTGTAGCTCAAGCAGAATATCTTATGACCATGGATAACGAATACATGAATATTTATCTTCTTGATAAGTGTTATTATACTGGAGGCAACACTTATACTAAATATGTCAGAGAAGACAAGAAAGCCAAAGGTTACACATCAACAACAGGTTGTGGTGATTGGCATGATGATGGTTCTTTTGATCTTAAGAACGGTCAGTCCTTTGTCGATAACCTTCCAGAATACTTAGTAGTTGATTATGCATACATTGATGCTAAAGACTGCAAAATCAAAGAAAGTGAAGCAAGACCAATAGAAACACTTATTAAATCTGGGTGTATCAAAACGTCAGAAACAACTTCAACAAAAACGGAAATTAAAGATGGAAAGTTCATTAAAAATGATTATGATGCATCCAACAGCTGTACTGGAACTCCATCAAATATCATCAACAAAGATATGGACAAATGCTTCACTGATAAAGATGGCTTTTACCACACCGCCAAAGACTCTGCTGTGACTCTTTCAGCGATCATGGCATTTGTCCTGGCTCTTTTACTCTAAATTATTTTTAGGGAATAGTTTTTTAAATGTATTGAATTTTATAATTTTACAAAAATATAATAAAAAAAATTAATTGAGTTTAGATAAAAGACCTACATTGACCACCCTCACCACCTTTACCAAAATAAAATATTTGCCGCGAGTGTTTTTTGAAGGAAGTCCACTTTTCAGCCACTGTTTGTGCGTCCCCATGTCACCCACTTTCCCTGTCCGTACTGTTTGGACGTGGATGTGGTTCCACCTCGTTTGCGGGGGGGTCAGGGGGATCCGCGCCAAGGGAGGACTTGGAAAATGTGTGAAACGGTACAAACAGACTGTTTGAGTGCGTCTTTATGAGCCTTCTTTTCAATGCTCCGTCTCACTCGGTTTCACTAACTCGAGGTGAATTTTCGGCATTTCTTGAATTTCTGGAATTATTCCAAATATCTTCCCAGTTTCCTATTTACTGTAATTTTAATTTGAATATAATTACAAATAAAAAAAATAAATATTTTATTTTTTTAAATGTAGTTAATGGAGGTTATTTCCGTTTCCAAATAAAAACTTTATTATTTGAAATAATATACTAATAACAAATTTAGTATTTTTTATTTATTTTAAATACATTTTTAGTATAAATATTCTATTTTATTTTATAAACACTAGGCTTCGCACCCGAGAATTTTCTTATTAAAAATTAGTATCTAAAAAAGCTAATAAAACGGGAAAGAAAAGATGACCCGTTTTAATAGCGTTTTTCGATACTAATTTTTGATAATAAAATTCTCGGGTGCGAAGCCTAATGAACACTATTCACATTTGTTGTAAATTATGTTCGACTTAAATGATTTTTGTTTTTAAATGTTAAAACAATTACAGAATAATTAAAACAATTAAAATATTAAAATTAAAAAATAAGATAAACGAAAACTTAAATATTAGTGTTCTATTTATTATCAAAATATGGAAAATAAAATACTTATCAAACTTTTAGGCGTTCCATGTGTTGGTTGCACTTCAATATGTACTCGATACACAATGAACATATTCGTTGAAAATTATCACCAATGTGTTATTGTTGATTATTATCATAAAACAGTAACTATAAAGGACAAAAAGTATGAGTTGGATATTGATGATTCCACAAGCACATTAAATTTTTACGCTTTAACTGAGTTGATGATTAAACATTCAAACATCATAGTTTTGGTATATTCTATTGATTCAAAATCATCATTTAATGAGATGTGTACAATATTAAATCTGGTTCACAAAACACTTGGAGTTGACACACTTCGAACTATTCCAGCTGTCATCTGTGGTAATAAGAACGATCTGGAAAACAAAAGAGAAGTGAGTTATATTGAAGGACAAAAACTTGCTGAAAAAGAAGGTTGTCTTTTTTACGAAATCTCAGCATTAAAAAACATAAACTTAACTGAAATGTTCGAGAAAGCGGTGAGTTGCTATGTCAACACTAAATCAAATGAAGCAGACCAACAATATGAAATATGCAAATTGTGGTGATAAGAATTGGTATTATTTTTTATATTTTATTTTATAAATATTCATGGTTGTTATTATCTAAAAAGTGCCATCAAAAATTCCTTTAAATATAAAATACCAATATATACCATTTATACCGAATATCTAACTTAAATTGGCAAGTGTTACTGGTTTAAATTATATTCCCATTGCATCTCTTC